AGTGGTGAGGAAGGTTCTTGGGATGAGCAAGATTTAGACAGATTTGGTGTCCGGTGAACAACTGGCCCAGTGTTCACTGATGTGGACAGATGTTCACGATGCATTTGCTAGATGGACACTTGGTGGGGAGGTGTGGACAGCATGGGTGAAAGGATTTTTTCTAAAGTCTATCAGGAAATGTATTTCTGGAGACAGCCTTCCAGAAGTAGAAATTCCATGCCAGCTCCCCAAGGATGTTTCTACCATTCTGTCTCCCTGTCCCACTAGGCTAAGCCCAGAGCAAAGAAATAACCAATGTTTGTAGAGGACTGTATAGTTCACAAAGACTTTCTCATGTATTTCTTAAAGATTCAATGTTGGTCAAGCATCATGATCGGCTTTGAAACAACGGGGAAACTGAGGCTAGGAGAGGTGTGAGCCCCTTGGCAAACATCACAGAACAAGCACATGGTGGAGCTGGAATTCACAGCCAGGACTTCTGTCCACAAACATCTTTGTATTTCTTATGGAATGGTCCCACTGGTTAAAAAAGTCTGAGAGCTTGGATTTTCCTGCACCATCGTTTCAAATCATATCTGGAACTGAAGGCTCTGTGAACAAATTGTTCTCTAATGGAGGTGCTTCCTCCTGGAGGAGGAAACTTCTTTATAATTCAATTTTATGAGAAGTATTAGTTAAGGTATGCCACCAATTAAAGGTCAACATAATTTGGCTGCATGTCTTCACAAGCACCATGCTCATCTTCCAGGGCTGTAAGCGATGCTCCAGATGTAATGTTACTAATACTGTGATGTCTGATGGGACAGCAGCAGAAGACAGAAGTTCACCACGTCTCTCCTGGAATGCCAGTCTGCACTCTAATACAAATCCTATGAAAAAATCTTACTTCCTGACTGAGTCTCATCTCTAATGGCTGGTTGGCCTCCCATAGGGAAGAACAAACCCAACTCAAACCCACTGCTGTCAAGTTGATTCTGACTCATAGTGCCCCTGTAAGACAGAGTAGAACTGCCCCATAGGGTTTCCAGGACTGTAAACCTTTACGGACCCACGGAGCGGCTGGTGGGCTCAAACTGCGGACCTTTTGGTTAGCAGCCGAGCTCTTTAACCCCTGGGCCACCAGGGCTCCTTATAGGAAAGACAGGCTGGGCTAAATTGTAAAGTTCACGATCCACCAGGATCCGCCCCTTAAGGGTATGTATGGGGTGAGAGGAATGGACTTGGCTGCATACCTCAAGCACTTCAATAGGGAATTAATATATAAATAGCATCACACAGTCTCAGAAAACAGCCTTCTTGGGCTTCTCTGTCTTCAGTGGTTGCAGAAACCAAGGTGCCTAGCAGTTTGCTCACAACATCTCAAACAGCCAAGTGGCTTTGGTCAGCAAGTCTCTAAGAGCACTCCACGAGGCTGCTGCAGGCTTTACAGATGCCAAGAAAATGGACGGAGAGAAAAGGAGGTGAGGCCCTTGCCATAAGGTTGCTTTGGCCAAGCTCTGCCATTGCTACTGAACACAAGAGAAGTGTCCCTGAACCGGCAGGGCCTCCTGTCATGGGAAATGCAGAAGGGCAGGAGGAGAGTGCGTCCAGGAGCAGAGGCAGGGCCTGGGAGCACAGGTGTGGGTCACGAAGGGCTGCTGGAGAGGCAAGATGAAGAAGCCTTTCTCACATCCCTTGAAGGGCGAGTATTTCAACTAAACTTCTCCAGTAATTACACAATCAAGCCATAAAAACCAAAATCAAACCCCTTGCTGTCGAGTTGATTACGACTCATAGCAACCCTACAGGACAGAGTAGAACTGCCCCATAGGGTTTCCAAGGAGCCCCTGGTGGATTCAAACTGCCGATCCTTTGGTTAGCAGCCATAGCTCTTAACCACTATGCCACCAGGGTTTGCAATCAAGCCATAGAAGGGCACAAAAAACGTGGCCAAACTCATCAGTTTGACCTCTGAATGTCTGTGGGTCCATCAAATACAAAATGCTTTGTTGATTGGTTTTCAAATCCTGTTCCAAACTCTCGGCTTCCTTGATGAAACTTAAGAGTTCGTTCTGGTGAAAGGCGGGGAGTAGCTAATGGGCCCGACTGCCTTTAAGCAGAAAACCCACTGCCATCTGACTCATAGCAGCCCTATAGGACAGAGTAGAACTGCCCCATTGGGTTTCCAAGGAGAAGCTGGTGGATCGAACTGCCAACCTTTTGGTTCACAGCTGAATGCTCAACCACCACGCCATGTTTAAAGCAGAGAGGTGCTAATTTTACCTGCATCATGGTTCCCTGAAGATCCTGTCTTAACTTTTTAAACCATAGCTTTTAAAAGAAAGCATACAAATCTTAAGTGTACAGCATTCTACAATTGCATACATAGGTGTAACCATCCCCATGATCAAGATATAAAACATTTCCGGCAACCCAGAAGCCTCCTGGTTCCTGCCAATATGAGCACTGCTTTAACTTCTATCACCACAGAGTAGTTTTGTCTGTTTTTGAACTTCTTAAAAAAAAAAAAAAATCACACAGTGTATACTCTTTTGCATCTGGCTTCTTTCACTCAAAAATGCGTCTGTGATGCAGAACTCAAATTCTAGTAAAAAGACCAGACTTAATGGTTTGATTGAGACTGGAGGGACCCTGGAAGATGTGGCCCCCGGGCTCTCTGTTAGCCCAAAACTAAAATCATTCCCAAGGCCGACCCTTCAGACAAAGATCAGACTGGACTATGGGACATAAAATGATACTCATGAAGAGCATGCTTCTTAGCTCAAGTAGATACATGAGATTATATGAGCAACTCTCGTCCGAAGGTGAGATGAGAAGGCAGAGAGGGTAAGGGGCTGGTTGAATGGACACGGGAAATCTAGGGTGGAAAAGAAGAGTGTGCTGTCACAGTATACAGAGAGCAAGTAGGGTCACAAAACTATGTGTGTAAATTTTTATATGAGAGACTAACTTGAATTGTAAACTTTCACTTAAAGCACAACAATAAAAAGAAAAAAAATGTGTCTGTGAGATTCATCCCTGCTCTTACATGTAGTAATACTGTTTTATTTCCATTGCTGGGCACCATTCCATTATACGGATCTACCATAATTCATTTATCCATTCCATTATTGATATGAATTTGAGTTTTTTCCAATTGGACTATCACAATAAAGCTTCTGGGAACATTCTTGTACATGTCTTTGAAGATTCCGTTAGGATTCTTCCTGGGGGAAAAAAGTTCCTAAAAAAGTCTGTGAACTCAGATTTTTGACTTCCGGATTAGCACAGCAAGTGGAATTCATGTATTAAGGTCTTTGATCTTCAGCAGCAGTTTCCACGTTGACTGATAAGAACCCTCCCTGGGACCTGAAGGAAATGCCCAAATATATGGAAACTTACAAGGTGTTTGGCGGAATTATGACTATTACAAACCTAACAGAGCAGGGGTGCTGTAGAGACGTGTGTGTGTGTGTGCGCGCGCGCGCGTGTATGTGTGCTATTGTCATTGTACATTGTTGTGGGAAGATATCAGTCTGAACAGTTTATCCAGAATAAATGTGAGAGAACCACTGGCCCAGAATATTTGCGGAAGGGGAGAAGAAATGACAAGAAATGAGGCTGGAAAAATACATTAGCATTAGAGTGCAAGAAGCCTTGAATGCTATGCATTTTAAACTCTATAAAGTGGATTTGATACCCTAAGCAACAGAGAATCATCAAATGTTTTTAACAAACATCTACTGGCACCTAATCACTGCTTGGGTAGGTGGGTAATAGGGCAAAGCTAGTCATGTCACCTACTGGCTCCTTTTCTTGTATAACTCTTAAGCTTTTAAGATGTTCTATCAAGCAGGAGGTAAGGAGGCAGGCAGGCAGGCATTTTGCTTTGCACTATGCTGATGTAAACTGCAGTTTATTAGTAGGAGATGATGTGGGGGCAGGAGAGTGAAGGGCTAATAGAGTGGATTCTAGTCTAGATCCAAACTTCCTGTGTTCAAATCTCGGCTCTGCCATTTATCAGTTGTGTGCCCTTGGGAAAGCTACATAACCTTTCTGTGTCTCTGTTTCCCCATCTGTAAAGTGGGGATATTAATAGTTTTTATATCCCAGTGTTGTTGATAGGATTAAATGAGTAAGTGCTTAGAAGCGTTTGACACAGAGCAAGCACTCAGTACACATTAGCTGAAACTATTATTACGGGCTAACTCCGGTGGTTATAGGACGAAAGCATGTGACCTAAAACGATGCAGCTCATAAATGCGCAGGCATGGACTTGCATTGTCAAAAGGTGAACACTTACAAACACGCAAATGGGCCAAGATCAACTGGTATTTAAAAGTTCTAAGATGTGTCCCGTTCAGCAACTGTCCCAAATTACTGCCTAGAAACCTAGTGCTTCTACAGAAAGGAGATAGGAAATCAACAAGGCTCAAATTAGCCCCAACCATTAGCCTCAAATCATCTTCCCTTTCATGACTCTCAGTTGGATCAGTTGCCCAACAATCCAGGTTCCTAGGAGGACTTTGCAAATGGCCCAAAAAACCTTCCTTTAGCTGACACAGCAGGATTTGGATTCAGATCTCTTTGCAGTGCCAAAGGAAAATGCTGCCTTTGGGTTTGAACTCGTTCCCCTGGTTTTGGGCGGGAGGGGTGTGGAGAGCAGCAGTACTTGGGAGAGGCTTGGAAAAATGGATGCCACTGTAGCTGGGCCCCCAGCTTTCTTGGGAGAAAATGGAGAAGGCTCAGTCAGCATGGGCACCTCGCCTTCATTCTCACATGCTGAGATGATGTGTAGCCTGGCCCTCACAGGTCCACTCAAAACTCTGGCCAAGACAATGTTTATAGCATCAACATAGTGGTCTGAGTCAAAATTCAAATGCAACAGCTATCTAACTTTAAATTACTGTGGGATTGCCTCTTTCTCTCTTAGAAATAGAACTCCAAGATCAGGCCTCCCCTCATTTGGTGAAACAAACAGCAATGGCAAAATGGAAGTGAGTCTGAAGCTATGACCTTACCTCCACGTACAGGAGAGGGAAAATTCCAATCTTGTCTCCCAGCATTCCTTCTGCCCAGTTATCATCGACTCTTCTGATCACAGTCAAAATCTCATCCTGAAATTTTTGGAGCCCACCATGTACACAAGCACATGTACATATACACACAAAAAAGAAGAAAAAAAGAAAAGGAGACTGGTCAGTATTGTTGAGGCAAAGAAAGAATTTTAAGTTACCACTTTTGGTTTATTGTCCGCTCAGATATTTGACATATAAAAAATAGTCAGCCCTTACATCTTCACCGGTGGCCTCCTTCACTCTCTCTGATTATGGCTGCAAAGATTCTCAAATGGAAAATGTGTCAATTCACAATACAGTTGGTGCTTGAAAATTCAAGTTCCTATTATTTGTTTAATGAAATAAAAATACATTGTATGAAAACAAATTCAGCTAAGTATAAAATGTTTTAAGTTTCTGGCTACAGCAAAGAATAAAACAATAATCCAACTCAACTCCAGTTATTTAGAGTTGTGGGTACATAAAGCTTTGAATAACCCTCTTAAATTCTTTGGTATATCAGACAATACCAAGTATAAATGCACAAAATGGGAGATTGAAGGAGAAAAGAAGAGGTATAAAGTAAGGAGGAAAGATAATACCCAGGATATCTGTCACAAATGCCCAGAGCCTCAGAGACAAACTACAGGGTCATGTGGAAAGGAGGAGTGGCAGAGAGAGAAAGACAGGGAAGAGATGGAGAACAAATGGGTGAATGACCAGAGAGGAACCAAGGGGAAAAGAGAGATAACCAACCTGCAACAGTATAAAAGGGGACAGAGGCCACTACCAGAGACAGCCATGGGAAAAACTGGTGCCTACCCCGAGGGTATCTTTAGCTCACCTCCATTCCCTTTCCTGTAATCATCCTTCCTTCAGCACCCAGGGCAGATAGTGGTACTCCTCCAAGGTCTCTCTGCTTAAACCTACCAGTCCTTTGTCCCTCAGGAATCTGTTAGGAGATCAGCCGGCCAACCTGGGAATCTAATGTGCTAAACAGTTGACAACCAAGAGCAGCCTAATGTGGTAACCCCTATTAGACCTGAAGGTAGCATCTGCCTTTCCAGCCAGCCTTTAGCACTTTAGTGTAAAGCAATACTATGGGGCTTTTAAACTTCTTTTTAGGGCCAGAGGGAGGGACTTTTTCAGTCAGGGTAGTGTTGTTGTTCTTAGGTGTCATTGAATGGGTTCCAACTCATAGCAACCCTGTGTACAACAGAACTTAACAATGCCTAGTCCTGCGCCATCCTCATAATTTTTGCTATATTTGAGCCCATTCTGCAGCCACTGTGTCAATCCATCTTGTCGAGGGTCTTCCCCTTTTTTGCTGACCCTCTACTTTACCAAGCATGATGTCCTCCTCCAGGGACTGGTCCCTCCTGATAACAGGTCCAAATTACGTGAGACGATGTCTTGCTATCCTTGCTTCTAAGATGCATTCTGGCTATACTGCTTCCAAGACAGATTTGTTCGTTCTTCTGGCAGTCCATGGTATATTCAATATTATTCACAAACACCATAATTCAAAGGCATCAGTTCTTCTTCCGTCTTCCAGTCAGGGTAGACTTTACAAAATTATCAGAAAAGCTTCTTCACCGTGACCTGAGTGGCCTAACAGTTTGGGGTGTTCATCTAGGGCAAAGTAAGATGATCTAATGGGAACTACATATACCTTTCAGAAAATGCAAGAAAGGGAAAGGCAAGAGTGGGAATCTGTATTGAGAATACTCACAAGGTCTGTTCCAAACCCCTTCTCCCTCACATTGCCTCCTGAGTATAGGGTAGAGTTTGGGGGTCATCATACTCTTTGTTTTCCCTGTCCTCACTCCCAGTTTCCCAGCTTTGAAAACAAACAAACAATGAAATGATTCGCAACTCTGTAATACTTCTTTTTCCAATTGATATCAAACCAAACCAAACCCACTGCCGTCCAATCAATTCCGACTCAGAGCGACCCTATAGGACAGAGTAGGACTGCTCCATAAGGTTTCCAAGGAGTGCCTGGTGGATTCGAACTGCTGACCTTCTGGTTAGCAGCCATAGCTTTTAACCACTGCTCCACCAGGGTTTCCAACTGATACCATAGGCCAGAAAAATACAGTAGGCTTTATGAGGGAATCATATCTTTCCACGTTACATACCGGCAATGGATTCTCAGCCTAGAGGATAATACTTAGAAGGGTTTTCTTCTAGCAAATGCTCCATCATTAGAGTGTTTAGCTTTTCTGATACACGCTAGGACCAAAGTGGCAGAGTGGCTTTAGAGAGATGAACAGACAATGCCACTTCAATCTCTTGCCTTGCTCACCTTACAAGATCACAAGCTGAGGAGTCATGAGCACACTGATTAACTCAGCTCAGATTTAGCCGAAGAGAGGACCAGAAGACTCGGCTTATTATGCAATCAGAAAGGTATCTGACGTCTTCCTATCAGCCCGAGTTTTCACAACAGTAAAATATTACAAATAGCTTTTAAATTTTGCACAGGGCCAGGCAACGTTTCGTTCTGTTGTACATGGGGTCTCTATGAGTCAGAGCTGACTTGAAGGCACCTAACAATAATAACATTAAAAAATTACAAAGAAGGAACTACCAGTTTAGATTTCATAAATGAGGAAAATACTAGAATATTCACATAATTATTTAACACTGGCCTAGAAATTAAAGCCAAAGAAATAGCAAAAGAAAAAGAAAAAGTATAAATATTGAAAAGAAGACTGAACAATTTTCTACCTAGAAAAACAGAGCAGCAACTAAAAATTAGGAAAAATAAGAGTTTGGAAAAGACTGCCAGTTTTTAAACAAATACATATTAATAATTGGCTTTTCCATATACCATCAACACTCAATTAGAAAATGTAATTAAAATTGGCTACCCATTAAGAGAAAAATAAAGTTAGTGATCTAATTCATTGTAGATGTCAAAATTCGTTCTAGAAGGATTAAGGATTTAATGTTTTTAAAAAACACTTGACTATAGAGGAAAAAAATATGAATAAATGTTTAATCTTGGGCTGGGGGAAGTCTTTCAAAATATGATAACAAAGATTTGACTGTAGAAAAATTAAATTCTTCATATCAAAACAATAGAAACAAAACAAAATGTCAAATAAACTAGAAAAATAATTGCAGGGTGTATGAGAGACAATAGCATAATATCTTCAGTATATAAAGACTCTTTAAAAAACTGAAAGAAAAAAGATACATACCCGAAAAGAAAAATAGGCAAAGGGCAAAAATCAGGAAACTCACAAAAGAGCAAATTGTCAATAAACACATTTTAAAATTTCGACCTGACTAGTAATCATAGAAATACAATTTTCAAAAAGAAAATACCTTTTTTCCTCCTGTTTATCAAATTAGCAAAGATGAAAATAAAGCCAACTCATAACGTTGACCAGCATGCGGGGAAATAGGTACTTTTTCTCATTTTTGGTGGGGATGTAAATTTATGGCAGGTAGTTTGCCAATTCCAATACCAAAGCCTTTCAAGCCTGCATGCTCACTGGCCTAACAATGCCACTTCTAGGAGTCTATTCTACAGAAGTCAAAGATGTGCAAATTATTTAGCTCTGAGGATGCTCATCACTGCGTTTTAAAAGAGACAAAAACTAGAAACAAATGTGTAACAAAAGGATATTCATTAAATAAATTATGACATTGTCTACTCAGTGGAATATACTCAGTTCTTAATAATAATATGTTGTAGCTATTAGGTACCATCAAGCAGATTTCAACTCATAGAGACCCCATGTGACAGAGTAGAGCTGCCCCGTAGGGTTTTCTAGGCTGTATGTAATCTTTATGGGAGCAGATCACCGGCAGAGCCGCTGAGTAGGTTCGAACTGCCAACCTTTCGGTTAGCAGTCAAACACTTAACTGTTGTGCCACCATAATGGGAGTTGTAAAGGAAATGTTCCAAGTATATTTAAAAAAGAAATCCTAGCCCTGGCCTCCAGTCTCCCAGTTCTCCAAGCAGCCATTTATAAGGTTCTTATTCAGTCTTCCAGAAATACAGAGATATTCTACATATGTATATGCATATACGTGGTGGTGCAGTGGTTACAGTGATACTGCTAACTGAAAGGTCAGTGGTTCGAAAACACCACCAGCTCCTCGGGAGAAAGATGTGACAGTCTGCCTCCATGAGATTCACAGCCTTGGAAACCCTATGGGGTCGCTATGAGTTGGCATCAACTTGACAGCAGAGGGTATACACATGCACACACGTACATATCTGTGCACATACGCACGTACTTTAAAAAAATTCGAAAATGGTAGCATACTCCTCACACCGTGCTGCAGCTTGCTTTTTCCACTTACTTTAGCTTGGAGATTGTTCAGTGACTTACACATAGATCTCCCTCACGCTTTTAACAACCGCATAAGAGCATTCCATTGCGATGAACTATAATTCATTTAATGGACTTCATAATTATTTTCAAATGAAAAACGTAGGATATAAAACCATAGTTACAGCATCCATTATGTGGGCATGTCATGATTTATTTTACTAGTATGACCCTATTTTGTATTAAGAAATAAATATATATACCTAGGAGAAAGTCTGAAAATATACATGCCAACATTTTAAGAGTGGATAATTCTAGGAGAGGGTTAAAATCAGCTGGGTAGTGATTATAAGGATATATTCATTTTGTGATAATCATCACACAAAAAAGGGCATCTTTATTTTATTTTTTGCTCCTTTCTGTTTTCCAAATATTCCATAATGAGTATTAGTTTTGTAATAAGAGAAATGTTGTCTTATAAACCAGAAAAAAAAAAAAAAAAAAAAAAAAACCAGGAAGAAAACAAGAGGCTAGAAATTTTCTTGTGCTTCTGGATGACACTCTATATTTTCTCTTAATTTTGAAATTTTTAACAAAATTAAAAAGCAAAAATAATTTATTTATCTTTTGTACAGAAAAAACTGATTTGCAGACAATGCAACAATGGAAGGGACAGATAACATGTTAGATGGCAGGGCCATGGATCACAGGTACAGACAAGGCTGGAACAACAGATACAAACAAAACCATTCAATTTGACAGAGAAAA